ACATTACCCTATATATATATATTATGTCCCGCAACCAAACAGAGTCAATAGATAGAACCTTTCTTCAATCTATTGAAGGACTCCTCAACCAAGCGGTGACACTTATTGATGGTGTTGTTGACAGGTCCAGATCCACAACTTCTACTTCTCATGACCAGGAAAACGAGGGAGAGGAGATATGCTGGTTAAGATTTATGAAAATCTTTCTCCTTGTGTTTTGCAAGAAACTTTCAAAAAAATTGAGATAGGCCTAATCAATGAAAAACCCTCTGCTCTGGCTCTGCTGCTACACTGTCTTCAGACTTATTCTAATTTAAAATGAATTAGCTACACCTAAAAAAATGTAATGAATAAAATAAATGAATGGGTAATATAAGACATCTAACAAAAAGAATTAGCCTGTACAATCAATCTTTTCATGTTTTGTTGAAAAATTAGGCCAGGTCATTTTGAAAGAGGGGGAGATTATGAAGGTGGGGACAATGAAAGACGAGGGTGAAGAGGACAATGACAGACAAGAGGGTGAAGAGGACAATGACAGACAAGAGGGTGAAGAGGACAATGCCAGTATGTAGCATGCTGCCTATAAATAGAGCATACATATCCCTTTCAGCAAGAAGCAGACAGAAAGCAGTTATCAAAAGCTTTTTTTAAATTTTTTTTTCTAAATCTGTACGGTTTTTGGATTGATCTTTTTTTCTAAATCTGTATTTTTTTATAAAAAGTTTTGAAATATCATAGAGAAGACAGAGTATCGGTGAATGTGGTAACCAAGGTTTCACTCTCAGGAAGGTTTTTGAGAACATACTCATACTTTAATTGAATTCTTTTTTTTTTTTTCAGAAAGCTAAAAGAAGGCTGAAGGCGCTGTAGATCCTGTCAGCCCAAGGGTGGCAGACTAAGGTGCGGCGTGCGCAAAGCAAGAGCGCCACTGATATCAAGTACACATCTAGAGATGAAGAGTGTGATGAAGGATTCGTCACACACACCCCATCCTGGCAAAGTGACAAATTTGCCAAGGTAAAACATACCTTAGACAGGTGTTTTATTGAAAACAGCTCAGACAAGAGCAGAAGGTTGCTGCAAAACAGGAAGATTGGAGCAACTCACATCAAATCTGTCCCTAATTGTCCAGGGCTTGACAATAAGGATTGCCCAAATGCCTGGGGCAAGTAGACATCGATGTCAGGCAAGTCCCAAAATAAAGTAAAAAAAAAAAACAACAAATATCTAATTCCATAAAATCGTGAATTCTTCAAAAACATGGTTGTACAGGGGAAAGCTGATCTCCAAATTATAGTGGCTCATTTTTATGAGTTGCTGCAGAGACTTGGGTGTGACCAGAATCAAGTTTTCAGGGAGTGGCCAGCACTAAAAGCTTTGGTAATGAATAGAGTGAATGTGAGGGGTAGACGTGATGCTGCACACATTCAGGATACATGGGCGATGTTGTTTACAGATGAAGAATTACAGAGAAGATTCAGTAACATCAGTATGGTAGTTGAATTTTTTTTAGTGACTGCCATGTCTTCAGCAGTCTGTGAACGTGGATTCAGTGCAGTGAAGAGAGTGAAAACAGATAAGTGGGAGAGTTTGGCCACCAGCATGTTAGATAACCTTCTCATTGCCATGGAGGGTGAATCATATGAGGCATTTGATGCAGACAAGGTGTATGACAGGTGGCTGCATGGAGGCCAGAGACGCCGTCGCATCAATGATGATTGTGAACGGTGACTCTTCTAGAAGCTGGAAAATTTGACAAGAAAGAATGACAATATTTGTACTCATTATTCTCTTTATATTCTGTATTGCAGATTTGAAGCATTTTCTCAGGCAATATCTCAGACATATCCAAGACTATCATTACATTTCAGATATTTCACAGAATAGAAACCCCAAACACCAGAATAAAATTGAAATGAAGAAAGACATAAACACTGTTTATTTTTTGTTTGGTAAAATTCGGGCAAGTATGGTAGAGCCCTACCAAAGCATAACAACATATATCCCACTAAAAAAGATGTTAGCTCTGTTTCCCAAAACCTATCAGTGTTACCACCCTCTTTAAATCTTCTTCTGAAGTCAATATATAATCAAAAGCAAAAATGCTGACATCAGATGTGCTGCTACATATATTGGGCAGGCAATAATGAGCTCAGCATTCCCACGTGCTTCCCCGACTAAAGTAACCTGCATACCGAAGGATTTCAAAATCAAATAAAATATCCTGTGACCATTTTACTCAGGCAATGAGACCATAAAACCAAATATTTGTGCTCAAGAAACAATGAAAATTACAGACTTAATAACATCTGTCCAAAGCTGGGGCATTATGGAGTCATGAACATACTCATCAGAGTTATGAGGCTATACTACACTAACAGTAAAAATTGTAAAAACTTAACCTCAGGTTTTGTAAACAACTTTTATCACCAAAGTATGCAGGAAGAGGAGAGACTGGAAGAATTCTTGCTCACATAAAGATTAAAATACAATTAATAAAATTTTAGCTTAAAATATAACACTTGGATGATAACAACCTACTGAAACAAGCATACCTAGATGAATTACAATATTACAAATTACTCTCAACAAAAAGCTTGTCAAATCTGAAAGATGGTAACTTCTCATGGAGTAAAGGTATCATGAAACTCCTATTCGAAACCGATTTGGAGATAAATAAAATTCCTTAGCACATTCAAAAAACACATCATCAGTGGCTCCGTACAAAACTTCCACAGTTAACTTGAGGACAAATCTAAATCCAGCACCTATTGCCAATTCAAAAATACATTTAAACAAGGCAGCAAAGCTGTCAAATGTACAGACAAAAAACAGGAAATAACTATGCACAAAATAGGCTACTGCCAATTCTGATGCAAAAGTACATAATGTTAAACTGCAAATTCAACATCAAATTTTAACAAGACAGCACTGTTCTGAAATGGGTTTATTTCCATTTTTAACACTTTTTTAACATAAAACAAAATGAACAGTTTACTGCCATTTTTATATGATCAACTAAGAAAATTAATGATATTGGAAAAATATCAATAGAACAGTGTTAAATGTCCAATTTCCTCCATTCTGAGATTCTGAACATAGTGGATGATTGAATCTGACAAACTGCAATGATATGAGTTTATTTCCATTTTTGACACTTTATTACACAATACACGATAAAAAGTTTACCATCATTTTTACATAATCAACTAACAATGTTGTAAAGATGCAGGAAATG